GAAGTCGAACTGATTTTGCAATACTAAGTGAAAACAGTTCAATAGTTCCTGATAAAAAATTTCTATGTTACTGTCAAAATAAAAAAAAAGCACACAACTTAAATGAAATATCCTCAGTTGTTTCGTTGTCAATACGTATATTTTACAAATGAAACTTTTTCCGTCACTTATCACATTCATTTTAAAGAGTCCTTCTTAATTTACAACGACTATTTAGACATCACTTTGCAAATAACAGACTTTTTTGTAATACTGCGATCTGAAAAAAACTTGTCTTTATCTCTACTTATCTGCTGAAGCTTATAAATATTCACTGAATTAGACATAACAAAGGTCTAAAAAGAGTCTACGATACGTCAGTAGAACAGAACTTTCAAGTACAAAAGTTGATACTTTTATTCCTCTGTTCTTCTACCTTTTACAACCTGTGCTTTAATATTTTAAGGTGCCTAAGAACAGTAATCTTTTGCTACAGTTGTTGAAGACGATATGAGCACAAAATGTAGTTTAAGCTTCTCACTTAACCAACCTCTCCTTGACTAACTAGCAGTAGTTTCTGAAAAAGCAACACTGTAGGATAATAGCTGAGTCATATCTTTAAAAAAAGTATATGTCTTATAATCAATTTTAATTACGTTTAGCAATACAACCAATAAAAATCGTTCAAAAAATTAATTCTATACATTGAGAAAGTTTTAATGATAATCTGTAATAAAACTTGTTTTAATGTATCTATTTGACATCGTAAAAACTACAAAAAAGAAGAACGTTGGGTTTTTTTACGTTTAGAAACAATTTGAGGTTTTTTTTACACCATAAAAAACAGTGAATTTGCAGCACAAAAAAGGTAATTTTTTTTAAAACTTTTTCCAGTTCTTGAAATCTTCTTTTGTCTCATCTTCTACATTTACCATCACGGAATGAGAGTGAACAAGACAACGTGCCTCAATTTTGAGAACTACATTCCTTATTTGAAATTTATCACAAGATCTTTATGTATTCACCAAAAATAGCTATAAAACTACAAATCATTACGTCGTAACAAATGAAAAACAACAAGAAATCATGAACATCTTTCAATTGTCAATTTTAAGCTAGGTAAGCTCTAAGAATATTTAAGTAGCTCAATAAAACTTTATATGACAACATGGGATTGAACTGCGAGTCGCACTGCGAAGTTTATTGTGAAACTTACAAAAAAACTTACAAAAAAAAAACTCGCTACTTTAAAATACTAAAAAGAGACTTATTCGCTCTTTTTACACAACCTATGTCAACATAGAAACCTATATTTTTTATTTCCTGAGTATATTTCCTTATTGCATTTTTGAGCCTGTCAACAAAAAAGCATTTTATTTTAAACAGATTTTGACGTAAAAGATTTAATTGCTTTCAACAATTATGGTTTTTTGAATCTGATAAGAGTCTTTAACAAAAATAAGCGAAAAAAAGTTTAAAAGAAATCAGAGCCATTCAAATCAGAGAAATAACTATTTTTTTTATAAGAAATTCTTTTATTGTCTAAGAAAAATCATTGTTGATGTACGTAATGCCTCAGCTACATTTTGTTTATTCTGCTGGCAAAAGATTGATTCATCAGTTTCCGGAGTTTTGAACTACCTATAAACAGTCATAGACGCAGTTTTGTCACCAAATAAACAGATGATGAAACGGTCAGCGGTGGAACACTTTGCTGATAGTAATCATAGTGTTAGATACGTTCAAACGGTTTTTATAGGCACATTCGTACCATTTTGCCTTCTGCAAAACACAGACAGTGACCTTCAAAAAATACTTTGCTAAACTTTAATTTTTATGGGAAGTATTTTAAATGCTGAAAGATTAAGGTAACTATGCTTAGATGAGGCTGTAATTTGTTCACAGTGCTATAGAGAGCTAAAAGATTATACAAAAAAAACTTACGTTGGCTCAAAGTTAATTTTCTTCAGAGAGAGCTGAGTATTTCACGACAGCTGAAGAAGCGTGACTCAACAAAAATTCAGTTTTGCAGAAATAAATGATTAATTATTAGACACAGTTAATTAGTTTATTTATTTGTTTATAGCAATAACACATTAAACGAAAAACCTTTCAATTGAAGCAAAACGAAAAAAAATTTTTGTTCAAAACTCAAAACTTTCATAAAAATTTTTCATCTTTTACAGCGTTTTTAGCATTTTGAATTTCCCCTTTTTTCGCTTTTTTCTGTGATTCTTTTTTGTTTCTAGCAAATTTTTTTGTCTTTTTTATCTTTGATAAATGTTTGCAAAAAAAAAATCACACCAGTAATTATACTGGAAATTTCAGATTTACAGATGAACTATTTGTACTTCTTTTTAGCACAACTAATACAGAAATGATGCAGTGCACTGCAGTTATACAGCGGTTAATTGAAACGGTATAAATATTCTAAAAATAGATACTTTACTATTATAACAAATTAAATTTTTAACATTCAATCAAGTAAATTCTGTTCGATTAAGTAATAATGCTTTTTTGAGTTAAGTGCACACTGCTCCTCCAGCAGCAGCAATCGTTGAGGATACACCATTAAAAGTGTAATCGAAATAAAGCGAAGGAATTGGGTTCGCCGTAGTTTGATTGCAAGTAACAATCATTGTGATTGTACTTCCTTGAGGATTTAACTGCGTAATTACGTTGGTCGACAAAGGTGAGTCAAGAATCTGTAGACAGTTTTCTGTATCGCAAGTGCAATTAGCAGTATACATTCGGGAACCGTTAAAATCTGGAGTTATCTCTGCCACATCAAAGCCACTAAGTGTAACGCTATTGTTTGCCACTATTCCGCAATCAAACGCTAAAAATATACTTATTCTTTTGTGCAGATGCTTCAGTTGAAGATCATTAAATTTTGACTATATATAGATGTATATATCACGATAAAAACCTGTACCTACTGGTGTAGGAGCACAGGCGTTGGTATATCTGTTTACGACCACAGCATCAAATAGAATTACAATCGACAGCCCTAAAAATAAAATGTACATCAACTGTAAATCCGATGAGTATCACAAATGATTATACCAAAAAAAGTAGAAAGAAATTAAATTTCTTATTTACTTCTGAACTTTGCTGAACATATGTGATTGAAACCGACTTTGTAATTCAAAAATGCATGTAAATTCATAACAGAAGTATGCATTGATAGTTTTTTGGTTCATAATCAGAAGAAAAACAGGACAAATCAATAGACTCATGCATAGATAAAAAGTATTTTTAGAATATTGGCAAAAAGTGTATTCACTGTTTTTGAACAATTGCTTACGGTCTAACAACCTGTTACTAATTTTGCTTCCTTTTCCTAATTATTCGTTTATAAGTTTCTTTTTTTTTCTCGACGCACGAGAAGTATTACCACAACTAGTTTTCAAAATCAAGCGTAAAAAAACTGATCTGCTATAAATCATTTGACTTACCAGTTTTAACAAAAAATAACACTAAAAGAAAAAAAACAGTTGGAAAAATTAAATAATAATTAATGTTATACTGTCACTGATATAACAAATCGTTTAATTTATTAGTTTCTGAATAAATTTTGATAAGCAACCAATATTACTTACCATTAGCAAAAAGTTCTGCGAAAAGTCTCGTTGTTGTCCTGTCCATTACAGTTCTGTTCCTCCGCAATAAAGTTAACGAGCCTGATTTTTGATACAGAATCATTAAATATCAGAAACTGATATTGTCAAATGCAAAAAAAAAAAAAAAA